TACAGACTGTGGAACCAGAATGCCTGGGCTTCAATCCCAAATTTTATACTTAATTGAATTACCTTTGGTAAGTTAGTTAGCCTCTCTTTGTCTCCATTTCCCCATCTGTCACATAGAGGTGATGACATTATCCACTTATAGGATAATTGCTGATGACTAAATGATAGGAAATGATATTTTTAGACTATAACATGGCATATAATAAGTGCTCAATAAATGTGAGCTAAGTTTATGTTCATTTTTTAAAAACTAAGAGTTTTAGTCAGTATAATGCAGGGTTCATATCTGGGAATATAGGGAGAAAGGAGGGAGGATGTGATGCCAAATTAAGAAATTCATACTTTAACCTAAAGGCAATGGGATGTTATTGAAGGATTATAATGATTTAATATAATTTGTTCTTTATAAAGGTCCTTCTGGCTTAGAGAATGAAGTAGGGTAAGAAAGGAGGCAGGAAAGCCTGTGAAGAGGTCATTGGATTAGTTCAATGACAGGAGATGAGAATCTGAGATAAGGTAGTGAGGCAGAGTGTTATTGAGGAGGGAACATATTCAAGAGACATCATGGGAGTAGAAGTCAAGTCTAACTCCCAGGTGCCTGACTTGAACACTAGCATGGATAAAGGCTCCATATTCTGAGATAGGGAACAGAGGTGGGGGACAAAGATGATGAGTTAACTTTTACCAAAGGAAGCTTGAAGGGGGATTTCTAATAAAAGGTAGAATAAACAAGGTTGGTATTTGCTACCCCTTAAAATTTACAAAGCAAATTCTGCCATTTTCTACCTATGTGGCCTTCACCTAGCTATATGCCTTTATGGAGTCACCATTTCCTCCACTATAAGAGGCTTGTAACAATTAAAATTCCATAGTGTACCTTCAAATAGGTTTCCTAAACTTTCCCTACTTGGTGGGGGGAAAAATAGACTTACAAGTCCAGGAAGCACAGAGAGTCCCAAACAAGATGAATCCAAAGAGGCCCACTCCAAGACACATCATAATTAAAATGCCAAAGATTAAAGACAAAGAGAGAATCTTAAAAGCAGCAAGAGAAAAGCAGTTAGTTACCTATAAGGGAGCACTATATAACTTCAGCTGATTTCTTAACAGAAACTTTGCAGGCCAGAAGGGAGTGGCAAGAAATATATAAAGTGATGAATAGCAGGGACCTACAATCAATATCACTCTACCCAGCAAAGCTATCATTTAGAATTGAGGGTCAGATAAAGAGCTTCCCAGACAAGAAAAACAAAGGAGTTCATCATCACCAAAACAGTATTATGTGAAATGTTGAAGGGTCTTATTGAAGAATAAGAATAAGAATAAGAATAAGAATAAGAATAAGAATAAGAATAAGAATGAGAATGAGAATGAGAATGAGAATGAGAATGAGAATGAGAAGAAGAAGAAAAATATGAACCATAAAATGAGAATAAATACATATCTATCAATAATTGGATCTAAAGCTTATTACAGACTGATTCATATGCCTTTCAGCATAACAATTATTGCTTGTCTCATCTTTGATTCTTATAAGTATATTTCCAGTAGGACATAATCTCACCCATCTAGGGGAAATGGTGAACAACATAGACTGATGAATAAGAACAGACCCAGAGATAAGGAGCCATGGGGTCAGATTGTTGGACCTCAAAGGGAGGGTGGGGATAAAAGGGAGAGATCAACCAAAGGACTTATGTGCACACATATGAGCCTAACCAGTGGTCAAGGACAATAGGGGATGGGGGCATGAGGGGTGGGGTGGGGGATTGGAATGGGGGGTTGAGGACAAATATATGATACCTTAATCATAAAGAAATTAAAAAAATAAAATAAATGAACGAGGAATCTAATGAATAAAGTAAACTGATGAATAAAATAGAACCAGAGGCATGGAACAGACTGATGAATCTCAGAGAGAAGGGGAGAACAGGAAGTGATTAAACAAAGAACTTATGCATTACCTATGGACACAGACAATAGGGAGGAGAAAGCCTAGGCTGAGGTGGGACCAGGGTAGAGGGGGGCAGTTGAGGGTAAAAGGGGGACATTTGTAATACTCAACCATAAAGAGTTTTAAATGCCCTAGTATAAGTGAAAAGCACACAATAAAACATAAACCTATTGTGATACATAATACATTTGTGTTATGATACAAAGCCATATATTTTTCTTCTGGTGATAGCTGACATGCAGGGAAAATAATCTTGCTTCTTAGGTAATCTTTTAGGAAAATTCAGTAAACTTTTCCCTTCTGGGGAAATAAAAGGGTTTCATGAATACATAGGAAAAAAAAAGAGAGAGAGAGAATACGTAGGAATAGACCTCCTTGTCTTAAGCCTGTGTTTCTCTCCCCTTCTAATTTATCTAGCCTAAAAATAGGTAAGAAACTTGAAAATACTAGTAAGTCTTCAATGGGATGTAAAGGGCCAAAGCTGAAAATGTGATTACAGAGGCCACAACTTGAGGTAGAATGAAAACGTTCTGGGATATGTCAGCTGAATTGAGATCCAGACACTATGGTTAAATTCCAGACCCTGAATAGAGGAGCCTTTTAAGACCTTTTGCAAAGTGCTTAGTTCTCTTCTACCCTTATGTAGGTATGTGTGGTTTGTCCCTATAGAGGCCACATAACAGGCACCCCAATTCTCTGTGCCACAGACTAACTTTTCTCTGCATGTCCTGAGGGGCTTGTCTGCAATGGACTTGCCTCATACTGTTTCTATGGAAGTCCTGACAAGACCCAGATTCTTTTAGAACAGCAGATATAGCTATTGACGTTACAAAACTGACTTCATCTATAGAATGTAGAAATATATAGTCTCTCCCTTGGAAGAGAGTACCATCTTTCTATTCAGTTCAGGTTCTCAGAGATTCACTTATTTATTGCTATTTTATTAGGTTAGCATTTTTTTGTTGTTGCAGCGCCACATCTTGTGACCAAGATCGTTGAATCATTCATCTTTTAATCTTTAGTCTCAATAAATATACTTATTTCTCAAAACCTCTGTCATTTTTTTGTGTGGGTGATAGGCGCTTCACTTTCCTCACCTATAAAATAGAAACACGAATACTTTCCTTGTGGCGTTGTTGTGAGGAACAAATGAGACTATACATTGAAAGTGCCTACCCTCAATAATATCAGTAATAAAAATAAAATATAACTTCAAAATAAAATAAAAGGATCAAAGTACCTACTCTCCATATTCATTCAAAAATATTTACTGAGAACCTACTATGTGTAAGACACTGATATGTATTGGGGATACAACAATGAACAAAGGTGAATATTGCTACCCATGTAGAGTTAATATTGTAGTGGGGGAAGTTTGACTAGTAAGTAAAATATATAATATAACAGATGGTGATAAAAGCTATAGAGAAAAATAAGATAAAATATGGGTCTAGTGGGTGCTAGTCAGACTTGGACATCACCACACAATAAGTGCTTCATAATTGGTAGTTATTTCTTTTAGGTCTCTGGCCTCTACCTTAAGTATTAATTGCATACAGATCCTAGGTACTTGCAACAGTTCAAAAACATTTATCAAAACCTAACTATAGCCCTAGCCAGTGGATAGAGTGTCAGCCTGCGGATTGAAGGGTCCCTGTTTGATTCCTGTCAAGGACACGGGCCAGGGTTGCGGGCTTGATCCCTAGTAGGGGTGTGCAGGAGGCAGCCAATCAATGATTCTCATTATTGATGATTCCACCTCTCTCTCTCCCTCTCCCTTCCTCTCTGAAATACATACATATATATATATATATATATATATATATATATATATATATATATATATGTCCAATCCCTAATCCATGGTTATATATATATATATAACCATGGATTAGGGACTTGCTAAGTTTGGGGATATAGAGATGAACAAGGCATGATGAAGAACCACAAAGATAGTTCCAATGTCTGTCATAAGTGACCAGACACACAGGATGAAGGAGAGGAGAGTGTAGAGGAGAGTCACTTAGCATACGTAGGGGTCCAGAAAGGCTTTATGAAGATGTTGATGCCTAAGCTCAGACTCAAAGGCTGAGAGAAAAGACATTGGAAAGGGTGAACTTGGCAGAATAAATTATACAAACTCATGAGGCCATGGAGTAGAGAGATTAGTAAGGAGGAACTACACGAAGTTCAGGGGGAAAAGAATGGCAAAAGATGAAGCTAGAGAAATAGGCACCGCTCAGGAGAACATGGAGAGTTAAATCATGGACAACTCACAGGAAAATGATGGAACAACTAGAAATCTTTGGTAGGGAAATCACATGGGCAAATTTGCATTTTATAAAGATTACCTTGTAGAATAAAAAGTTGCAGTTTGTAGGCTGAATTCTTATCAAGGAAGTAAAACTTAAAGGCAGAGAATCCACATAAGGCACTACTAGAATAGACCAGGAGAGCTTGATTGGCAGGAGGTAGAAAAAGATGAATTTCAGAAATAGGAAGCAAAATTGGAAGGCCTTAGTGGCTGATTCAATGAAAAATGAAGAGTGAATCCCAAATTTCTGGTTTGGGTGGATGGTAGTGCTATGATGGGAAGTACAGAACCAAAGACGGATTACCTGGGAAAAGATGCTGAATTCAGTTTTGAACACTCTAAACCTGATTCAATGGCTTATTTCCAGAAGGTCTCTCTTGAGACTTGGTATACTTTAAAGTTTTATAGTCATGCATACATAGGTCCAGATTATAATATGGGGGTAATAATATAATTTACCTCATAGGATAAGGAAGATAAAATGAGATATTGCACATGAATTGCTTAGTACCATGCTTGACACAGTAAATTCAACTATACATTAGATATTAGCTATTATTATTAGCCTCTTTTTTTTTTCTGGGCTCAGATCACACCTGCTGATTCTGCTCAACTCTCCTAAGTTTTCTTTCAAGCTTTTCTAGCTGACTTGCCTTTGGCCTCTTAGCATATTCTTTTAAGAGCTGTCTCTGAATTTCTATAATCAACATTAATCCTCTTGTTTACTCTCTAGCTTCTTCATGGATCTAAAAGGAGATTCATCTTTATTCTGAACATGGTTTCCCTGCTGAGTCACTCTCAGGCTCTCCTTAACCTTCAAATCACGAAGATTTGTACTGTTTGCTTGGAAGGAATTTTAACAGGTATGTCTTCTGAACACCAACACACTTAATATCAGCATGCTTCTTCTATCATCTGATAATTTTGTTACTGGGTAAGAATCCCCAGTGCAACAATTTCCATGATGGCAGCTATCATACATTTAGCACCTATGAAACCAGAGGCTTGACATTTATTTTTCTATTTTATCCCTAGAAGTCTTCTGAGGTCGGTGCTAGGATTATCCCAATCTTGTAGCATACAACTAAGATTTATTGAGCATTTACATATCAGGGCACTGTGTTAAGCACTTTGAATACATTAATTTATTTAATTCTCACATCCCAAAGTGTAAGCTCCATTATTCAAATGAACAAACCAAGCTCAGACAAATTAAAGCACCTGCTTAAGGTCACATAGCGAATAGTGGGATATTGAGAACGGAAATACGAGTGTGTTCACTCCTGTACCCTGCTGCATGCCACAGTGGGAGCAGAAAAGGAAGGGTTAGTCCAATGGTTAGCAAACTCATTAGTCAACAGAGCCAAATATCAACAGTACAACAATTGAAATGTCTTTGGAGAGCCACATTTTTTAAACTTCTTCCAACGCCACTTCTTCAAAATAGATTCGCCCAGGCCATGGCATTTTGTGGAAGAGCCACACTCAAGGGGCCAAAGAGCCACATGTGGCTCACGAGGCGCAGTTTTCGGACCACAGGGCTAGGGAATGACTGTGTATGTATATATGTTAGGATGAGTAAATGGGGCTACTGTCTATCTTTGTATTAAAAGACAAAACTAAGTTAAAAACTGAATTGGCTTTACTTGTAAGGCAGCGATTTTCATCTCATGGCACATATAAACTAATAGCTAAAATTCTGCAGCACACCAGATATATTTTTTGCTGATGTTCCAAAAATAGGTATAATTTTGATTCATTCACACTGGATGGCTTTTGTTGTGTTGGCTATTGTCATTTTTTTTTATTTGACAATCTAAGGGAAAAGAGGTCAGTGCCTCTGATTAAAGTCAGATATTGCATGTTTTAAAAAGTCTTGCAGCCTTAGCTGGTTTGCTCAGTGGATAGAGCTTTGGCCTGCGGATTGAAGGGCCTGGGGCTCAAGTCTGGCCAAAAACACATTCCAGGGTTATGGGCTCCATCCCTAGTAGGGGGCATGCAGGAGGCAGCCAATCAATGATTCTCTCTCACTATTTCTCTCCCTTCCTTTCTGAAATCAATAATATATATATATTTTTTAAAAGTCTTGCAGTATGCTAGCTGAAAATTGCTGTTGTAAGTTGATGAGTAGAAAATAAGAGTTAATAGAGCTGGTATTTGAAATTCCTTCTCCAACTCCTTCCCACTCCTCACCATTTACCTAAACACACATTAAAACTTCTAAAGTCAATAATCAAAAACACTGAAGTGCAGAGGAAGAGACTGTAATTCCACCCCTTACCCTAAGACTAGAATTTTCATTTCTAAGTTGTCCTCATTTGTAAAATCCTTTCTAATTTGTGTCCATATAAATATGATTTTACCTCATAACTATCTTGTATTTTGTTTTATTTAACATTATAAAATGAACCTTTTATTATTCCTATTTTATTTGGTAATAGACCCTAATATACATCAAGTTGATCAACATTAAGATTATTTCTATTTTCTTGTTAGTAAAACTGCATTGACAATCTTTGTGCCTATCGACTTTTATTTTCCTTCTGCTGATGTCTGTCCTTAGGCTAGAATTCCCAGAGAGGGATTGCACTGTCAAAGGGCAAGGAACATAATTCTGGTTCTTGATGCAAATTGCCAAATTGCTTTCCCAAAGGATCAGACTTATTTGGATTGCAGCTGTTACAGTGCAAGCTCATCACTGACTGATGAATTTTTTTTAGTTGCTATTTTTCTTTCCATGTTTTCAGTTTAATCTTAACTCTTATTGTTTCTATGATTAGATATATACTCAAAATATTATAGTGTGAAGATGGCAGGAAAATACAAATTACCAATCGGAAATGAAATAATAGCCACAATTTAAAATCCATTTCAGGTGTATTTGTGTCCACAAGGGTCTCCCTCAGGCTGCTGTTTCAGTCATTTTAAGTCCATTTTTCAATAATGAGATGGCAGGTGGAAGGAAATATGGGATAGTGGCATGAGCCCCCATTGGGAAGATTAGCTGGAGAGTGAGGAGAAGTCAGCCAGTGTTGGGGAACCTGGTGAGTGACACATGTAGCCAGGATACAGAAAGCAGAATCACAGTTTGAGGATGAACAAAGAAAAATCACTGGCATCAAAGTTTTCTCCATTCTGTAACTAGCCCAGTAGTACCTCCATCATATAAAAACTAATTTGTAGTCAGAATAAATAGAATCAAGATGTAGCACTGGCAAAAAGGAAGGAAGGTCCAGACCTGCTGCTCCTTGAAACAATGGAGAAGCAGAATAATAAAAATTCTTACACAGTAAGCTCTTTCAATGTGTCCAGTATTGTGCAAAATGCTTCCCCTGGCTTATTTCTAATCCTCACAGCAACCTTAGGAGGTGAGCACAATTAAGGTGATTTTACGGATGAGGAATTTAAAGCTCAGAGAGGTTGAGCTCATAGGAAACATGAAGAGGTAGTAAAGAAAATGAGTTCTAGAGGTAGGCTGCTTGGGTTAGAAACATGGCTTTCCCATTTACTAGTTATGTGGTTTTCGGCAAGTTATTTCACTTCTCTGCCCTTCAGTTTCTGCTTCTACTTGTAAAAGAAGATAACAGAAGAACCTACCTTGCGAGGCTTTTTGCAAGGATTGTAGGAAATAATATAGGGTAGGGCAAAAGAAGAAACTAGGCATAGTGGATAAGTAACTGATCAAAGGTTAACTTAACTGGTAGATGCAAGTGCTAGAATTTAAATCCAAGGCCCTAGAGCTCACACGTGCAATCACTACACACTATAAATGACTTTCATTAGTAGTAAGGGGCTAATTAATAGAGGATAATCTTAGTCTCTAGCATAGTGCCTAACACATAGAGGGCATCTTACCTAATAATAGACAAACATGTAAATTGACCATATCTCCCCTACACCCACAGCCAATCAGAGTGAGTATGCAAATTAGAAGGCCAAAGATGCTGGCTGCCCAGCTGCACCAGGCACAGAGTGGCCAGGCGGGACAGTACACCTGCTATGAGAGAGGGGCACGGGGTGGGGGGGGGTGGCTAAGGAATCTATAGGAATGGAGTGCCACAGCGAAGATAAGACTGCAGACTCTGAAGTCTGCAGCAAAGGTGAAGAAGGCAGACTCTGGCCAGAGTGAAGGCCTGGGTCCTGGTTGCCAGAGGAAAACAGGTGCTGGAAGCCAAGGCAAGGAAGGCCTATTGCATGAATCTCTTCATGCAACGAGCCTCTAGTTTATTACATAATTTTGGAATGTTGAGCGAGCCATTTATGCCTGTTACCATGCAACCCAGTAATAATTGTGTATTTAATCAAATATATTAGAGAAAAGTTATTTAATTTGTCTAATTATTAAATTAAACTATTTGCCTGAATTACCCTTCAGTATGGCTCCATATCATTAATCATCTGTTCAAAATGCACAGCAAGGCTATTCATTCATCCTTTATTGATTGATAATACCTACTAGAAGCCAAGCCCCCATACTATCTCTAGGGATAGTAATAAATAGACATAGAAACTCATTGTCTAGTGGAGGAGACATACATATATACAAATACAAATGATACTGTCTGATCAGAAGCATTGAAAGGGGAGGAACATGGGAGAATATAAGAGGGAAACTAAGTTTTCACATATAGGGCTTTTGCTGCCTAACATGGCTTCTTCTGGTAACAGATCTCATTCCACCTAAATGGGTACATCACTCAACTCTAGCAGGATGATTAAGTTTATATGTTTACTTGACTGGGCAAAAGGATACCCAGATAGCTAGTAAAATATTATTTCTGGGTATGTCTGTGAGAGGAGAGTTTTTCTGGAACAGATTACCATTTTTATCAGTAGACTGAATAAAGATTGCCCTCACCAATGCTGGTGGGCATCATCCAATCTGTTGGGGCCTGAGTATAACAAAATGACAGTAGAAGTGCAAATTTGCTGTTTGCTTGAACTGGGATATCTATTTACTCCTGTCCTTTAGACAGACTGAATTATACCACCAGTTTTCCTGGCTCTCCAGCTTGCAGGCAGCAGGATTTCTCAGTCTCCATAATCATGTGATTCCTATAATTAATAAAGAAACAAACAACAAAAAATGAATTCTATTTATCTGGAGAACTCTGACCAACACATATTAATAATCAGAGAACTCTGTTCTTCTGGCCATTGTTAGTAGTTTAGGGATAGACTCAATTCTAGAACTTTTGGTGGAACCATTGAGAACATGTTTCTACTGGGGTTGCTAAGTGGTAAGATGCAAATCTGTAGCTCTTGGTGAATATCTTGGCCATCATGCAGGGAGAGCCTGCTTAAGAACTGAGTCAACATAGAGATCAGGGCCAACAAATAGAAACAGATTGCTGGTGACATCATCTGAGAACCTGGGTCTAGCTATGCCTAAAATTGCCCCTGTGATTTTTCAATTAGTATCATTAACCCATGTCTTTTGGCTTAAGCTTATATTGTATTTTGGCTTAAGCTTATATTGTGTTGTATTTTTATTACTTGTTAGCAAAATATCTTCTCTTCTCTCTCTCTCTCTCTGTCTCTCTCTGTCTCTCTCTGTCTGTCTCTCTCTCTCTCTCTGTCTCTCTCTCTCTCTCTCTCTCTCTCTCTCTCTCTCTCTCTCCCACCCCCCGTGAGCATGTGCAGACACATATTCACTGATATGCTGATTAAGTAGGGAAGGCTTCCTGGAAGAAGTGAGTCCTGAGCTACATCTTAATGTATTAGAAGTTACCTAAAGCAGAGGGAAATGTACTCCAGGCAGAGAGACAGCATGAGTAACAAATATGAAGGTAGGATATACCACGAAATGATGGGGGGGGGGGTATTGTAAGTATTTTGATGTGGCCAGAGGGTAGAGTGAGAGTCAGAGGAGGAAGAACCAAGGCTAGGAGGGCAGGGCAGGGGCCAGTATGTGGAGCATAAGAAGATGGCAATTTTTATTTTTTATATTCCTTTTTTATAACTCAGCCAAATTTTTACATTTTTTTCTCCTTTTGTTATTAGTTCGCCAGTAACATGTACCATTAAACATCAAAGTAGAAATTCTTTCTAGTCTTGGGTCAATCTCAGGACCCTTTTTGGGTTCTAAATCACTAAAGGAGCCTCTTTGTAGTGTCTTAATTGCTGGCTGCTCTAGGTCAGGCTATCCTTATCTTCCATGAGGAACAGCCAGTCCAGGGAAAGAGATAATTACAATAAAAATATGAAAGGATCACAGTGAAGTGATATAAAGGGTGCAGTGAAAACATCAAGAAAGCAGAGCTTAGAGGTACCAAGGAACATTTCTTCTATAAGTATGACCTTCAAAATGATTTGAAGAAAGTATAGGGATTTGCCAGATGGACACGGGTGAAGTGGAAGGCATTCTAGGCAGAAAGAACTGCTTATAAAATGACCTAGAGATAAAAGAGAACAGGTTGTGCTTGGGGTAACTGCCCATAATTTGGTATTTCTGGAGATCTAAGTGTTTGGGTTGGGAGGATTACAAAATGGCACAGTGGAAAAGTACTGGCGATGTACCAAGGAGCCACATAATAAAGATCTTAGTCAAGGGACTTGATTTTATTCAGGAAACAATGCAGAGCCACTGGGGAAAAAATGGACAGAGTAGTGTCATATAGTTTTTGTTTAGGAAGAGTTCTCTGCAAAGTGAAGAATGGATTAGAGGCATCTGGGCAGAATAGCAGGCATCAGGGAGCTCAGTTAGAAAGCTGCTCCAATGTTCTAGTTGTGCGATGATGATGAAGTGGCAGTGGGCATGGAGATAAGCAGATGGATTTGAGAGCTATTTTAGGACTAGAAATACAGAGCTTGGTGACTAAGCGAATGCCAGTGATGTTGGGAGGAAAAAAGATGAATTAAGTAAATCCAGGTGTCTGAAGTTTAATCTAAACCAGTGAAAGAAAAAACAACCATTATAAGTGCTCTATATATTAGAACACTAAGTATTGTCAGGTTGCTGACAGCTGTTTCAGAATTCAGGAACCTTTTTCTTTCTCAATCTGAGCTGCCCAACTCTCTCTCTCTCTCTCTCTCTCTCTCTCTCTCTCTTTCTCTCAAAAAAAAAAAATAATAATGAGCCAGGTTCATTATCCTTGAATTTGAACATAAGTCATTATATATGACTTTGTTCATGAATCTACATGGGTGGAGGGGTGTATGATGTGTACACATCTAGTCACATCTTATACTTTCCTCATTTAAGGGACCACTTCCCTCGAATAAAATATTTGAAGTAAATAATCCTTTGCAGAAGCCCATCTGACACTCCTAGACAAAGGCAGTTGTCTTTGTCTTTCCTCTTTGGACTAGGTCAGTGGTCGGCAAACTGCAGCTCCTGAGCCACATGGGGCTCTTTGGCCCCTTGAGTTTTTAGCAAAGGCCAGCTTAGGAGTACCCTAACTATAATAAGTTAATAACAATGTACCTACCTATATAATTTAAGTTTAAAAAATGTGGCTCTCAAAATAAATTTCAGTCATTGTACTGGTTGATATTTGGCTCTGTTGACTAATGAGTTTGCCGACCACTGACTTAGTCACTAGGTTATTCTAGATTCAAGCCAAAAGAAAACGACTTCCTCTTCAGCCTAAGTTTCATAGGCGGGGTTCATTTTTACTTAGTTCAGAGTAAAAATAAACTATGAAACAAAGAAAAGAAGGATATATATTATTTTGCCTGCAACTATGTACTTCTCCAGAGTTTCATCAAAATGTAGTGGGGACTTGGTTGTACTCAAATGCCCATTGAATTAGTGCACCTTTTCTACAAAATGATGGAAACTTTTTGAAACTAAAAGGGCTGGGTTTTGTGTGCATATCCTTGGATTTTTCTTTTCTTTTTATAGCTAGAGAAGTTGAGGTAGGAACTTAATATTTACCAAAAATACATTTTATTAACGACTAAGGAATGATGAATGACTCACAGAAAACAGCATTTGGGAAGGTGAGAAGATGGGCTAACACACAGCTCAAAGGAAGGGCTGGCCCCTGTCCACACTGGGTCCTAAGTAGAGGTCATCTTCAAACCCACATATTGGATCGGACCAGTTCATCTGATTTTCACATCCATGATATGAAGGAGTCAATCCCTGGCTGAAACTCCTCTAGAGCAATGACAAACATTCATCACAACCCAGCTGAACCTGTACCAGGTGAATGATTGCCCCAAGGGCAAATTGAAAGTTTCTAATTGGCTGACATTCGTGTGAGTTGAGAACACAAACAAACCAACTCCTGCTCCAACAGGCCTTCCCAGAGAGCACCAGCCACCACAGATGGAAGCCTCTTAGACACACACACACACACACACACACACACACACACACACACACACAGAGTCTAGATTTATCAGCTCAAGAAGGATGAAGAGGATTTAAATCTATAGTCTCAAACACAATACCAAGCCTAGCCAAGATTCTGAGATTTCATGAGAGAGCTGGTATTTTTCTGAGTGAATAAACACACAGGATGGCCCAGATAGGATACATTGGCAATGGAAGGATTCTTTATGAAATTGCCCAAGGAGAAACGGAAACCCCAACTTTCTCTAGTATCATGTACTTACGAGGATTTATTTTTAAAAATACTGCCCAGCTATAGTATTTTGTATACTAATGTTATACTAGTTTTAACTCAAAAGAAACAGGCTTCAACCATGTCTTTCCCTAGCCCTAGGCAAAATTCCCTAGGAATCAGACTCTTTAGTGCTATAGTCTACCTAAATTGCCCTTTGCTCCACCCTACCCCCATTACAGGTACCCTTAGGTGTATAGCTAGATGGGAGGGAGGAACTTGCTATTATTTTCATGTAATCTATATATGAATAATATCTGGAATGTTACACCTTTTTCCCCTCTCCACTGATAATTATCATTGCCCCAGATCTCTCCTCTGTGGGAAACATCCAGAAGAGCCTGGGTAATTACTGGGCGGGGTGGGGATATGTGGGAAAGGAAAGAACAGGGCCCTAGAAATCCAAGTAGAATAGTCCAATAGATCCACCCAATGAGATTTTAAAAAATGAACACCTATTGATATTATTTGTGGCAAAATTTGTTTCATTAAAAAAAATTCTCTGGGTTCCTTTGCGCCTATGGATCAACTAGCCCAGGAATACTCTGGACCCACCAACACTTGATTTTCCAAGGAAGCATGGAGGGACAATTATTAGAAAAGCAATGAATTTATTCAGCCTTTGGTTTTACCTGTAAAATGATGGCTCTAATTGTGACTCTTACCTTGTTTTCCCACAGGAGTGATGAAATTAAGAAGATGACTTGATAAAATTCACTGAGAATCTTAGATGTATGTGCCATAGAACACTAGATAACAATCACAAAATGCAAGATAGATTTCTCTAATATGATCATTTGTCTATGACAAATGAGAACTTCCTTAGTCCGTAAACAATGTGCAAATAGTCTATGAGCCAGCACAGAAATGGTTTCTGAAATGATGACTACTAGCTCACAGACTGGAAATGGGAAGTTGCGGGCTCCAGAATGGAAGGAAAGATAAATAAAATTAAGCAGTCTTATAAGGCAGAACCTGCTTCTAAGGGATAAGGGCCAAGAATTATTATAAGGAAAGGAGGCCCTCAAAGCCAAATCCAAGGAACATATATTCATTCTCTCTTATTCTCTCCCCAAGACATACCAAGATCATTTCCCCCCTGAGGACCAAATGGAACTTGGACCTAACACCCACACATACATTCTGTTACATAGATGCATACACATAGAGGCACTTGGGCAGTCAGAGTTGAATTCAGAATAGGCCCATACAGACATTCAGAAGACAATAATGAATAGATAAGTGGGCATACACACAATGTGTAGAAATGGGTTGGGTAGATATATTTGGGGAGTAATGATAAATAATAATACCCTTCTCATCCACTCCCAGGTTCAGGACCAGTTGAGAGACACAAGAAGCTGAAAGGCAGAGATGAAAAAAATATCTGTTTAGCCTGGCTGGTGTGGCTTAGCAATTGAGCATCGACCCAGGAATGAAGAGGTCCTGGTTCAATTTCTGGTCAGGACACATGCCTGGGTTGCAGGCTCAATCCCCAGTGGGGGCCGTGCAGGAGATAGCCAATCAATGACTTCCTCTTTCATTGATGTTTCTATCTCTCTATCCCTCTCTCTCCCTCTCTCTCTAAAAATCAATAGCATATATTTTAAAAATACCTGATTATTACTGTTAAAAACTGGATTGAAAGACACGGAATATATAGAAAGTCATAATAAGCTTTCTTATACTTTCCTCATTTAAGGGACAGAATTGCCAACTGACCCAGGAGTGGGGAAAGAAGCCAAGAGAGTTATTCTAACAGAAGTACTCCCAAATGGAAACATGGAGACAACAGAATGGAGGACCCCAATCCCTTCCCACCACTGCTTAAAAAGGAGAGCATGACAGACACACGATTAATCGAGTTATCACAGAATGCTTTTCCAGCATCCTTGCTTTGAAATCCTGGTTTTACCACTTCTTGGCTCAGTCTCCTCACTTGGAATAAGTTAATTATACCACTTTTCAGGGTCATTGTAATCATTGCCAATAATGTATGAAAAGTGCTTTGCATAGTGCCTAGCATTTAGTAATTGTTTCTTAATCTATGGCAAATTTAACTCGTTGAATGAACATTGTTCTGTTGAAATATTGACTCAGTAAATATGTAAGCTCTTTAAAGGAACAAATGTTATGACTATACTATCCGAAGTGACCTACAGATTCAATGCAATACCTATCAAAATTCCAATGGCATTTTTCACAGAAGTAAAAATCCTAAAATTGACAAGGAAATGCAAAAACTCCCAAATAGCCAAAGAAATATTGAAAAAGAAAAACAAATCTGGAAGCATCACACTTCCTGATTTTGAACCAGTTTACAAAGCTATAGTAATCAAAAGAGTGTGATACTGGTATGGAAACAGATACATAGACCAATGGAAGAGAATAGAGAGCTCAGAAATAAACCCAAGCACATGTTGTCACCTAATCTTTGACAAGGGGAACAGATAGTCTCTTCAATAAATGGTGCTGGGAAAATTGTATATCCACATGCAAAAGAATGAAACTGGATCCCTATCTTACACCATTAATAAAAATGAACTCAAAATGAATTAAAGGCTTAAATATAAGACCCAACATTGTAAAACTCCTATAAGAAAAACATAGGGGGAAAGCTTCATGGCATTGGGCTTAGCAATAATTTTTTGGATATAACAACAAAAGCACAGGCAACAAAAGCAAAAAATAAACATAGTGGGATTACATTAAACTAAAAGGCTTTTGTATGGGGGGGGAGAGAAAGAAAAGAAAAGGCAAAGGCAACCTAGAGAATGGAAAAAATCTTTGTAAGCCATATATCTGATAAGGGTTTAATATCCCCCAAAGCAAATCACTTGATTTAAAAACAGGCAAAGAATTTGAATAAGCATTTTTTTTTTCCCTGAAGAACACATACAAATGTCCAACTTATGAAAAGGTGCTTAGCATAACTAATAATCAGGCAAATGCAATGCATGTCATTTCACACCTGTTAGAATGGCCATTGTATATTTAAAAAACCACAGAAGTCCATATTAACAAATATTGGCAAAGAAGTTGAAAAATTGGAATTCTTGTACAGTGTTGGTGTGAATGTAAAACAGTATAGCCAGTATGAAAAACAGTATGGAGGTTATGCAAAAAAATAAAAATAAAAATAGAACTACTGTATGATCCATCAATACACATCTGGGTATTTATCCAAAAGAATTTAAATCATGATCTAGAAGAGATATCTGCACTACTGTGTTCATTGTATCATTACTCACATAAGCCAAGAGATGGGAACAAACTAAATGCCCATTGACCAATGAATGATTAGAGAAAATATGGTACATACACACAGTGAAATATTATTTAGTCTTTAAAAAAAGAGGAAATACTGTTATGCTACAACATAGATAAAACTTGAGAACATTATGCTAAATAAAACAAGCTAGTCTCAAAAGGACAAATATGGCATCATTTCACTTATATGAGGTATCTAAAGTAGTCAAATTCATAGAAGCAAAAGTAGAATGGTAGTTGCCAGAGTCTGGAGAGATATAGAAATGGGTATTGCTGTTCAAGATGTATAAAGTTTCAGTCATACAAGTTGGAAAAGTTCTAGAGACTTGCTGGGATACATTGAACATATCCTATATAATAAAGAGGTAATATGCAAATTGACCCTCACACCTTTGCACAAGATGGCTGTCTCAATGTGGTCAATGATGGCCACCCCATGTGGTCAAAGATGACCTCCACAAGATGGCTGGCAGGGGAGGGTTATTGTGGGCAATCAGGCCAGCAGGGGAGTGCAGTTAGGGGAGACCAGGCCTGCAGGTGAGGGCAGTTGGGGGTAACTGGTCCTGAAGTGGAGGGCAGTTGGGGGCAACCATGCCAGCAGGGGAGCAGTTAGGCATCAATCAGGCTGGCAGGGGAATGGTTCAGGGGTTATCAAACTGGCAGGCAGAAGCAGTTAGAGGCAATCAGGAAGGCAGGCAGGTGAGCTGTTGGGAGCCAGCAGGCCCAGATTGTGAGAGGGATGTCGGACTGCTCACAGGAATCAGACCTAAACCGGCAGTCGAACATTCCCCAAGGGGTCCAAGATGGGAGAGGGTGCAGGCAGGGCGGAGGGACACCCCCACCCAGTGCATGAATTTCATACACCAGGCATCTAGTAGTTAATAATACTGTGCTGTAAACTTAAAATTTTAAGATAATAGATTTCATGTTTTCCATATTTTTTTTTTACCAATTTTTTTTTTTTTTTTTTTTTTTTTTTACTAGAGTAAGGATTCTGAAGCTAGGGGTATATTAGCCTCAGACCAAACTGTATATAACATTGGGAGATTCTGTGAGGCCTTCTAGAAGTGAGATTGTACAGCTTTTATTAGAATCTCAATAGAGTCCTTAATTCAGAGAGGTGCTCATGACACTGCTATGAGGAATATTGGAGTTTACGAAGGGTCCATCTAAGAAGGTTTTCTTTAAAGTTCAAAAAAGGACTAATAGTTCAGTTTTCTTTCTTCCCAAAAGGTAAACTGTTTGGTAGAGTTCTAATGAATAATAAACTCTTTGTGAGGATGTGTGTGTGTGTTTCTTTAATGAGGTAGAAGTAGATAACCCGTTTTAATTTCTCTTTCCCTGTTTCTCCTGATTGGCCTTTTGCCCACCTATTCTATTTGCTTTTTTTTTTTTTTAAACCATTTGTGATCTTTCTTAACTTTTAATATTAGCATAATCTAATATTCTATCTACATCCCCATTTTCATATTCTGATATTCCTGAGTGAGATGATTCTCTCCAAATGGCTTCAACTATTATCCAAAAGTATATTATTAATCATCACCTCTCTCTTGCTATGGAGTTTCCTATTTCTACCTGCTTACTAGACTTCCTACCTTTTTCCCCACAGGCAATTTCACATGCCTTAGGTGAATTACTTATGTTTGTTGGACACACACACACACACACACACACACACACAGAGAGAAATATACCCAGGGACTCCTCTCCATTGCTCTAATTTCACTTGGTTCATCTCCATCATCAAGCCTTTGTTTGCACATCCACTATGTTTAGACACTTTTCAGGAAATAGTCACAGAATTTGCAAACTGTAGAGGAATTTAAGAAATCAAATAGCTCAAGCCCTTCCATTTACAGAAAGGGAGAAAGATCTGCTTCATATCACACAGCAATTTAATGGCAAAACCAGCTTAGAACTCAGACCCCTCACATTCTACCCAGTATCCTACATAAACGATGCATCATGCTCCCGCTAGCTTACTTCTAGGGAAGACTGAAATTCCTGCTACCAGCAGTGATTTTTATCAGTAAACAAGCGACATTATCTAGCCATCAGCTATTTAAAATGTCTACTAGTACTTGTGTGCTGTGTACACCAGGGGATAGGTAGTTTATGTTCTTCTGTTGAAGAGATGTAAAGGACAGACCAAAGAGTGCAACAAGACATCAGCAGGGAGTTAGTTTTAGAATGGAAATACATTGGTTTACTTTCATAATAAGGTTGTAAGGATTTTTACTTTTTTCTTTTTCAAAGTGTTTTCATATGTTCTATTTCATTTTAGTCTTCAACAGGCCTGGGTGGGGCATATTAGCTAAAATTTACAGATGAACAAAAGGAGATTGAAAACAGTGATTTGTCCAAGGTCACTAATTTAGTTAGTGACAAGGTCAGGACTCACATGCATGACTACCGATTCTAAATCTCTTTCCTCTAGTCTAGACACATAATTCTAGTAGACCTTGAGTGATGACTACATATCCTGTGAACTGAACTTTACTACAGATTTTAATATGCTGAGACTGAAACATGCTGAGTTCTACCAAGTGATAATCATAGAGATAGGAGTCTTATCCAAAAAAAGGGGGAGAGGGATCTGAGTTTAAAGACAGGACAGAGCAAATGAATGTTATGTAATAGGTTGACACACAATTAAGAAGAGACAAATGGAGATGCCATTTTCTCAAAATTTCTGCTTTCTAGTGGGGGAAATGAAAAAAAAATGATCATGATCAAAATTATTTCTGCATGTCTAAAACACTGAAGGTGGTTTTCCATTTGATTCATCTCAGAGGACTTTTTAAAAGTGGGCTATACCTCAATAGATACCCAAACTGCCATTTTATTAAAGAGAGGTCAAGTCAACAGTGCAGAAGGCTGAGAAGAAAGGATTGGAGGAGGGAGGGAAGCCTGTGAGAGAAGTTTTGCCACAGCACAATGCAGGCCAAAGTCTGTTGAAGAGGCAAGTGACAGGTGAGAGAAATAGAAGCAGAGACTGGAAACCTTGCCTGCAGAAAGCTGTCTGTGGGAGGAAGGGTGCCAGAGTGTGTTCCTTGGCACTGAGGAAGATGCTGCCCAGGAAGAGGGCAAGAGGCTGGAGGAAGGAGAGAGTGGAAACATCCTGTTGAGTCACAAATGAGTTGTCCAAACTTTCCCTGCTAGTGGGAAGACCTTTAACAACTCACTGACTGCAAATGGCTCCAGAAGTGACACCTCAGAAAGGAATGGTAACCTGCCCAGGTCAGGCATGAGAAGTCAGCATACCATTTAGTAACAACTATACTTTTTGAGACTAATACTGTGTGTGTGTGTGTGTGTGTGTGTGTGTGTGTGTGTGTGTGTGTGTTTGGGGGCTCCTGGTCTACAAGCCCAGTGTGAACAGAGGAGCAGAGATGTCTGGACCCTGCCTAAAAGCCTGTTCTTACAAAAGGCACAACATTGTTAACTGGCCTGCTTATCAATGGATGCTCTTTCCTGCAGGTTTGTTTAGGAGTGCAAACAATACTGCTAGTCATACAGTTTGCTGATTCCTGGCTTGGTCATCTCAGTGGGGCAAGTGCAAGGCCGTGCCAGGAACTCCAGATGACTGGAACATACACAAGCACAGTGCTACCCATAGACGCCAGCGCTGAGCCGGGTGCGGCTGAGCCCAGGCAGGGGGCATCCTCAAAGTGCTTCTTTATTTAAACTATGCTCCGGGGCAGTGTTTCATAATGACCCTACACACCTAGTGCATACGCACAGAGCAGCCTACACACACAACCCCACTGTGTTCGCTGGCCTGCTGGCTTTCCTTTCCATCCCTTTAGGCAAGATCCACAAATTAGCAGCCTTGTAACCCTCTCAGGAACCGGTTCTTGGGACCTTCGAGAAGAAAAAGGCAGTCAGAGGAACAAGAAGGCGCTCGCTAACCGGGGGAACCAGGGTTTCAGCCCACTCGGCCACGCGGGCCATCTACACTAATGCCTGGCTGGAGGGGCGGGGAACCCCGCCGTAAGGAGGAGGACCAAAGTGGGGGCCAGCTTGAATGAAACAATGTAACAATTGATGTGAGGCCTCGCCTTGCTCCCACTTCCCCGCGATCCTATAGGCGAGGTCTCAGGGACTGCCCCTCCCCATTGCTCCGTTTTCTTGTCCATTACACGCCATCCCTCCGCCTCTCCTTCTTTCTTTTCTTTTCTTTTTTTTTTTCCCTCCTCCTTTCCCCCCCTCTCTCCCCCTTTCTCCAGCTCCGTGTCATTTCCTCCTTGTGCTCGCCCGGGCCGGGCCGAGCGTCTCCAGCCGGGAGAGGAGGCGGAGCGGGGCGGTGCGGGGTGGCGTAGCGCTGGAGGGCAATGGTGGCGGAGCTGCTGGGGGCGGAGGCAACGTAGCCCCCGCGGAAAAGGAGCCCCGCGGCGCCTGAGCCGAGCGGAGGATGGAGAACCGGCCTGGGTCCTTCCAGTACGTCCCTGTGCAGCTGCAAGGGGGGGCGCCCTGGGGCTTCACCCTCAAAGGGGGGCTGGAACACTGCGAACCGCTCACGGTGTCGAAGGTAAGCCCTGGCGCCTCTGCCCCGGCGGTGCCCAACTTTGAATGGGCAAACGGGCGTACAGGCTGCAGAACGGGGCCCTCAGACCAACTTTGAAACCGGGCTCGGGCTGAGGGGTGAGAGCCCCCCGATGGCCCCGTAGCGGCTCGGAGAGCCCCTGCCACCAGCCAGGGCACAGACAGCCCCTGCAGTGTGGCCAGAGCGCTGCACGCAGACACACTCCGGAGGCTCTTTCGCTCCCCCACGTCGGGGGCGGCTGCTCCCCTCACTTTGCCGAGAGGAAGTGGTGGCTGATGGGGGTTTCTCCTTAGAAGTTCCCGCGCCCCTTGCGGGAAGGCGAGCCGCGAGAGGGACAGGCGAGGAGGCTTGGCAGCTTCCTCGGCAGCGGTGGGTGGCCCTCGGTGGGCCATCCCGTCAGGGCAGGTTGCAGGGCAAGGGTCTCCCGTGGGAGCGGAGATGAGGCATCGGTGACTTTCGTCGGCCTCACTTCCCACGGCCGGACGCGCGCACATCCATTCAACTCGCGGGGCGTCGCTGCCGCCGCCAGGGCACGGCCTTTCCCTCCCTGCCGAGTCCTGTCCCAGCGCCGGCGAGATTTCCTGCGCGCCGAGGAGTGTGGAGGAAACTTTTGCGCCATGGAGCGCAGCTGTGCTGGAGCTGCCGCCGCTGCCGCCAGGGTTTGTTTGTTTTAGGAGGCTGTGATCTGCTGGAAGCCAAGTCCCAGCTGAGGACCAGGGAGAGGAGCTCTCCCGAGGGCTGCAGAACCCGCAAAACTAGCCATTCCTGGGAGGCGTGAGGGTGGGGGCCGCGGGGGCCCTTCCTGGGAAGAGGGACTTGTAGGACAACTCACCTTGAGGCACCAGATCGCCAAGGAAACCAACTTCATGGACTTGATTTGCCCCGTTTTTGTTTGCATTTCTCTTAAGTGCTCAAACCTGAGGAGCCTTACCAACCCGCTGAAATGGAAGTGGAGGTTGTAGATGTGGGTTTGGGCTGGAGAGAGAAAGATGTGGCTTCTCGGCAGGGGGGGGGGGGGGGGGGGGAGATGTCACTTCTTTTTTGACTTTTTAACCTGGGTCATGTCTCAGCAGGGGCGCGAGTGCCCCTAACCTGAGCTGCTTTTGCCTTGCTCTGGAGCTGCTGGTTAATTTCTAGAGCAGATATCCTTGAGGCCTCGGGGCCCACCCACACTCTTACCAGCCCTGTGGTGTTGTCACAGGGGGTACCACTCAGCTGGAGCAGCATGAGGTATGCTGAGGCACACTTTTGAGGAGCTGCCAGGGAAACCTGGGATCTTGAGCCTCCTAGGACACCAGTAACTAGTTCAGATCTTCATCCAACACTCTTCCCCTATACTAGTCATGTGTTTCTAACCAGCCTGAGATGCCTTTGGAACCCACTGTCATCCCCCCTCCTAAGGCATCTCCTTCCAATCTTCTCTGGAGGGAGTAATATGCTTTTCTTTAAACAAAAACACTGTCAAACAACCCTTTTGGAGATGGCAATCCTGGCCTTCGGCATTTCTTCTAATCACCCCCACCCTCCTTTTTCATCAAGGTCACAACTGGCTATGTAGCCCTCCATGATCTGGCAGTTCCTCTCTTTTTCTCCTTACACCACCCACAGAATTTCCACCGTCTGCCTGAACAACCTGACTGGGAGTGGTCACTTGTGACCTCTGCCCAGGGCTGACCCATTCTGAGAAGTACCCCCATAGAGTGCTTGCCGCTGTGCTGCTGGATTGTTATGCGAGCCAGCACTGGCATGGCAGGGGGTGTTACTAAGTATGGGGCAGCCAGCAATTTGTGGTCTGGCTGGGGGATTATTTGCGGGTAGATGAGGGTTTCCTTGGCCAAGCTGCCAAGGAAGTGACTCGTGTGTGGAGAGGCAGGGTGCCTTTTAATGATTCCTTTCCATTGAATGTACAGGTGACCCCTATTATATGAAGGCTCATTATTACACACATTTGGAGAGGTAGGGGGTAAAATCATTTCTCCCCTCCCTCCCAAATAGCCTGGTTTCTTACAGTAAAGGCCAGCTATATTTCATCTTTAGCCCCAACAATATATAAAGGGGCCATAGTATTTTTTTTCTCCAAGTGCAGTGGTTGCCTATTTTTTTTTTCTTGCCAAGCCACCTTATGGCACATTTCATTCCCCTTAAGCTTTAGAACAATATAGCTTTCTTCTTGAAACCAGCTTCAGTATGAACACACTGGTGATGATGGAATGAAAGGGCATAGAAAGAAAATCCCATTGGCAGATCAAAAATGTTGGTTCTAATCCTTGATTTGCTACTCACTAGCTCTGGGATTCTTCATATTTCACTTGTCCTCCATGGACTTAAGTGCCACATGTCTACAATGAGTTTCAGGTGGGTGGTCTTTAAATAAGACGATGATGGTCTGGTAGCCAATCCTTTATGCTAGCTCAGGCCCTTTGCTCCCCAGAAGAGTTTCAGACTGAGGAAGATGATGCTTTGTTCCACTTTCACACAGGGCTACTTTTATAGTGTGTTTTCACATCCCTTATTTCATTAGCACTTTCCAGGCCCCCTATGAGGAAGTCAGGGAAGGTTGTGGACAAACTAATGGACAAACTGAATGGCCAGGATGCACTGAGTGGCTTGACTAAGTCTGACTTCTTGTAGTTTGTGAAGGGGCATGGGGCAATGCCATTCAGGTATATATCCAATTTTGGCAACCTCCCACTCCAGTCACCCTTTCTATGCCAGCCTATGGTTCCACAATGGGCCAGATCTGGGTTGTAGACACTCCCTGATGGAGTCTGGGCTCAGGGAGTGGGATAGGACTATTTTGATAATTTTAAACCACGTGTGATGATCTCAGGTTGGCAGAGACAGAGGTAAGGTATAAGAATCATGGTTGGAAATGGAGAACCTCCTTTAGCATCATAGGGAAACAATCTCAAAAATGATTGGGTCTGGATGGTGTGGTGTACATGCCTGGAGATAGCCATCTTGAGAGTGGACGAATTTGAGAAAATGTGATTAGTGGGAAAAGAATGCATGTAGTATGAAAGTCTACCTCATATTTGTCATGGGAAAACCTTTGGACCAAGAAATAATCAGGTTGGGGAAATCATCAATTCCTACCAACTCCTGGGATTTTCCTGAATGTGAGGAATTCAACTACCCAAAGTTATGATGATTGCTATAGTTTCCTCCTGACAATCAAGTGACAAAAAGAGGAATTTTTTTTTAAAGTTACTGTTAATTATCCCAAGTGTTAGAGATGGTTTCTAATTTCCCTATTGAAACATGACCCACAAGAGAACTAGGATCATGTCCTTGGTGTTACTAATTTCTTTGGTTAGTGTCTTATACTACCTTGTTGGTCCGTGGAACCCATCTAGATGAAATGGGGATTCTCTTCTAAACAGATTTGTCTGTTTTGCTATTTAGGGGTTCCCTTTTACAGTATAGACAGCCATCTATGAAGTCGGCTTCCTGCGCTGGAAAAGATCATCTTTGGGAATGGGTGACCTTTCCAAGGTTCTGGAACTAATTATTGTGCATCACATGGGGCCTTTTAGTGTGGTGAAGGACTAACTCCCAAGAAGCACACCCCACGGAGGTCCCATTGTGAATGCCAAGCCCAGCCTGAAACACAGCTAACAATGTTTCACAAGAACTGTCCTTTTCCATATAACAGGACCTCTGCACCCAACAAGAACTCAGACTTACAGCCAAGTTTATTGCCAACCACAAGAGAGCCTTAATCTGACTTTACTGGGATGGAGTAGGAACCAGATAGAGGGAGGCAAAGGGTGGAAATGAGGGACATCTGTAATAGCCTCAACAATAAAGATAAATATATATATTTTAAAAATAGGGCCTCTTAGAGCCCCCTTAGTGATTCAAATTTTATCCTCCTCTCTGTCTCTCTTATCCCCACCCACTGAGAGAGAGACTGAGCTATAGCATAGCATAGCATAGCATAGCATAGCATAGCATAGGATAGCATAGCATAACATAGCATATGGTTCCTATACTCATTTTGTTATTGGTAATGTGCCCTGAGGTTGGCTAAGGGTGGAGACCAGTGTGGAGATGCAGGAAGAGGAGGAAGAAAATTGGGTGTGGGAGGTTAAGATGGGGCAGAAAACAGGTTCACCCTACATATTTGCCCCTTTCTCGGCCCATTTTTAGCGGCAGTCTCCATTTGGCACAGTGAGGGAAGTGGGGGCTAGTGGCTGTCCTGGAACTAAGTAGAGTGGAACAGTAGCTTGGAGGAAAAAGAAGCTTCACTCCTCCATGTAATGTGCACTGATGTCACGATATCATTTCACCCTTTCTAGACCCAAGTCTCTGTTTGCAAAATGGGGTTAGGCAAACATGCCTGATTTTTATCATCAAAGATGACACAAGAATGAATTGGGCAAACTCTAATACTGCTTGTCTAGGAAGATGGCAGGTAATGCTCTTTAAGTTGCTTTTAGGCCCTCCTCATCCCCACTGTGGGCATATTTCTAGAAGAAGCACACAAAGACGCAGTTGAGATTTCAAGAGGACATGGGTAAAGTCAGATTAAGGCTCTCTTGTGGTTGGCAGTAAACTTGGCTGCAAGTTTGAGTTCTTATTGGATGCAGAGGTCTTGTTATATGAAAAAGGAAAGTTTCTGTGATACATTTTTAGCTGTGTTTCAGGCTGGGCTTGGCATTCACAATGAGACCTTCATGGTGTGTGCTTCTTGAGAGCTTAGTCCAGCATGGTTACTTTATAACTCCTCTCCTCATATCTGCCTTTAGAATCAGCAAAGATGCCTACTTCTCGGTTCCTCAACTGCTCTCCTCTCCCATAGAGTAGTAGGCATTTGGGGACATGATGTAGGAATTAATCCAGAGAGATAAAAAGAAGGTTGAAGGAAGGTAGAACGAGAAGGGAAGTGGTATATCTGGTAACCTTTGGCTGAGCTTTGGGTACACACTACTTTTGGGCCTGCTGGACTGTCACAATATACCTGGTATCCTACTGAGATCCTC